TCGGCACTCGGCAGACTTCGGCACGGTCTTTGTGTGCGTGCGACTAGACGTATGCGTGTACACTAGCTGCTAACTCAATGATAAAAATTCCTGAATAACCTACATGTACATGTGTGTTCATTTATTCAATAATTATTTATGTAATCTAAGTATCCTGTTTACTCCAAAGAATACAGTTTTAATTTTTTTTATTGGATAGATTGGCAAACGAGCACACATTCCACCTGATGGTAAGTGGTTGCTGCAGCCCATAGACATCTACATCTATTCTCGATTACAAATCAAAATGTAGATGCGTTGTCACCCGTGAGGACTAAGATGGAATGCCTCCAGTTTCAGTAAAAAGGGTCTTCGGTTCTCTACACTCACCATACGAAACACAGTAGCATTAAGACACTATTTCACACTGGTATTCTGTGAGAGCGTGTTCCTTCCTCGGTCGAGCCTGCCCATTAGTGCTACAACTATACTACTAATATAACTGCAGCATGGATCTACCATGTATAAACTATATACACTTAACTACTAGTATAACCAATAGTCTCATATTTTGCTTGTAAGTGGACGAGACATTGTTATACTTAATAAGTTTAATTAGTTCTACATAATGTCAAACATTAAACGTGAACTAATTTCTTTAAGAAATGTACAACAAGTTATATATAATTATATATCAATAGGATTTAGCCAGCGAGAATATGAAATCATGTCGTGTTTACGCCATCTAGAGTATTTTTAGCATACCACCTTGAAAGTTAATCAATGTTTGTTCGATAAAATCATTTTACGTATAAAATGCAGTAGATGGCGATATAACAAATTATTATTTTACTTGTGTACTCCAAAGAATACAGTTTTAATTTATTACACTTAAATTCTCAAAATACTCCCATATTATGCTTGTAAGCGGACAAGACATTGTTATACTTAATAAGTATAATTAGTTCTACACAATGTCCAACACTAAATTTGAACTAATTTCTTTAAAAAATGTACAGTACCTACCTAATATCTAAGCATCTAAGTAATATTTTATGTTACATTAATTTTTATACACAAAAACAGTTCAAACTTAAAAAACTATCATAAAACTAATAAAATTATATTTATGTAAACTAAGTATCCATAAAATCTTATAATATTACAGTGGTAGAGCCACGCGGCAGCTTTGCTGTTGCACGTATGGGCCGGCTCAAACCGGGGTGGTACCACGACCTCACAGAATACCGGCGTGAAGTGGAAGCTCTGCTTCCGCGTTTCGTCTGGTGAGTGCAGGTGGCCGGAGGCCCAAATCCCCCCCCCCCATCAACATGGTAGCGGAATTAAATAATGATCGACTACCCCAGGAGGGTACCAGTACCCCTGGAGAATCCCTCGCTGAGCACCCACGACCATGTTTCTCCACTTCTGAGCGTGGGTGCTCAGGCTGCCCCGCGTATTCTGGGGGGGGGCAAAATTCCGCTCAAGACTACAACTGCTCGGGGCAAACGGAGCAACAAGACCAAGGCGACCCCTGCCACGCTGTCCGTGAATTTCTGCAATATCAGGGGACTTCACTCTAACCTAACCGCCGTCCACTACCATCTCGAGACGGCGAGGCCGGCTCTGCTCTTTCTGACCGAGACGCAGGTGTCCTCTCCGGCTGATGTCTCGTATCTCTCCTACCCGGGGTACAAACTGGAACACTCCTTTTGTGCCTCGGGCTGGAGTTTGCGTTTACGTCAGAGAGGACATCTGCTCTCGACGCCTCGGCAGACTTGAAGGTTCGGACCTGTCCATCCTTTGGCTACGCGTAGACAGCGACGACCATCCGCGCGTCTACGGGTGCCTCTATAGGTCCCATAGCGGTAATGCCGAAACAGACCGACTATTCGACCACGTCCAAATGGCTGCAGATTCGTTGCTACAGCAGATCCCCTCCGCAGAGATCGTGATCCTCGGTGACTTTAACGCCCATCACGCCGAATGGCTTGGTTCACGTTTAACCGATAATGCGGAGAGATCTGTTCATGATTTTGCCTTGGCATATGGTCTGACACAACTGGTTACTTCGCCTACGCGTATTCCAGATGTGGAGGATCGTGCACCTTCCCTGTTGGACCTTCTGCTGACCTCTCACCCGGACGGATATCAGATTTCCGTCGACGCCCCTTAGGCTCCTCGGACCATTGTCTGGTCCGGAGTGTGGTGCCACTCACGCTGAAATCGCGGTTGCATTCTGCAGGCTGCCGCCGTGTTTGGCACTATAGGTCAGCCGATTGGGATGGGATGCGGTCTTTCTTTGCATCCTACCCTTGGGGGCGGGTTTGCTTCTCGCCGGATGATCCCAACGTTGTTGCGGATTCTGTTGCTGATGTGGTACTTCAGGGTATGGAACTTTTTATTCCTTCCTCTGTGGTGCCCATTGGAGGCAAGTCTCAGCCATGGTTTGGTCGCTCCTGTAAAATAGCATCATGCTATAAGCAGGAGTGCTACCAAGCCTGGGCTGATGCATCAGCGTCCCGGGATGTAAACACCAGCGCTCTAAAAAAGAAGTATAATTCCGCCTCCAGGTCCTTCAAAAGAGTCATTGCCAAGGCAAAGTCAGAGCACATAGGCAGAATTGGCGAGAAACTAGTTCGCCTTCCTTCCGGAACCCGTGCATTCTGGTCTCTCGCCAAGGCTGTCCAGGGGGAATTTCTGTCAGCCATCTCTTCCATCTCTGCACAGGAAGAACGACTCACTGGCCCATACCGCAAAGGAGAAAGCCGATCTTCTAGGCTCTTTCTTTGCGTCTAACTCGACTCTCGATGACGGGGGGAGTATTCCGCCGACCATCCCGCGGTGTGAGTGCTCCATGCCGGAAGTGCACTTCACACAGCGCTCGGTTCGCAAAGCACTCCTCTCCCTGGACATCCACAAGTCGAGTGGGCCTGACGGAATCCCCCCCAATTGTGCTGAGGACGTGTGCTCCAGAGTTGGCACCGGTTTTAACGCGTCTTTTCCGGTACTCCTACTCCCTAGGCGTAGTCCCAAAATCATGGAAGACGGCTTACGTCCACCCGATCCCTAAAAAAGGTGACCGCTCTGACCCGTCCAATTACCGGCCAATCACCATCACCTCCTTGTTCTCCAAAACAATGGAATCCATTGTAAACTGCTAGCTCATGAGGTACCTTGAAGATCACCAGCTGATTAGTGACCACCAATACGGTTTTCGCCGTGGTAGGTCAGCTGGTGATCTTCTGGTCTACCTAACTCACAGATGGGCGGAGGCAGTAGAGTTCAAGGGGGAGGCATTGGCCGTTAGTTTGGGCATTGCGAAGGCCTTCGATCGGGTTTGGCACAAAGCGCTTCTTTCGAAGCTTCCTTCCTATGGGCTTCCCGAGAAATTGTGCGATTGGATCACCAGCTTTCTTGCAGATCGGAGCATCAAGGTCGTTGTAGACGGTGCAAGCTCCGATTGCAAGCCTATTAATGCTGGTGTTCCACAGGGCTGCGTGCTATCGCCAACGCTGTTTCTTCTGCATATCATGTTGCATACCCGTTACATTCATTGCTATGCAGATGACAGCACTGGTGATGCTCTTTACACCGGCCGAGCCAATATTTCTCGGGAAAACGTCTCCGAGTGCCGGGACAAACTTGTGTCTGAAGTCGAGTCTCTGCTGGACAGAGTCTCGGATTGGGGGCGACTAAATCTAGTCCAGTTTAACCCCCAGAAGACACAAGTTTGCGCGTTAACCGCTAAAAAGAACCCCTTTGTCGTATCCCCTCAGTTTCAAGGCACTCCCCCTTGTTGCCTCAGCCAGTACCGGAATCCTCGGCGTCGACATATCGAGTGACGTGCAGTTTCGTGGTCACTTGGAAGGGAAGGCCAAATTGGCCTCTAAAAAGCTTGGCGTGCTCAGCAGAGCGGGACAGTATTTCATGCCGGAACACCGCCTGCAACTTTACAAGGCGCAGGTTCGGCCGCACATGGAATACTGTTCCCATCTCTGGGCTGGGGCTCCCCAGTACCAGCTTCTTCCACTTGACCGCATCCAGCGCAGAGCGGCTCGAATCGTCGACGACCGAGTGCTTTCCGATCGGCTCGATTCACTGGCGCTGCGAAGAGATGTTGCATCTCTTTGCGTATTTTATCGCATCTATCACGGGGAGTGCTCTGAGGAATTGTTCGGATTAATCCCAGCCGCCAAATTTCGTGAACGCACTACACGTCAAACGTCCCGATACCATCCACACCATCTGGATGCTTGGCGGTCCACCACTGTACGTTTCACAAGGAGTTTTCTTCCACGTACAACCTCTCTGTGGAATAGTTTACCACCGGCGATTTTTCCGGACCGATACGACCTGGGGACCTTCAAGAAAAGAGCTTACTCCTTTCTAAAGGGCCGGCAACGCACCCGCAATTCTCCTGGTGTTGCGGTTGATCATGGGCGGCGGTAGTCACTTAACATCAGGTGAGCCGCATGCTCGTTTGCCCCTTCTTCTATAAAAAAAAATATAAGAAATGACATATAAGTCTATATCAATAGGATATAAATGCCTATATCCATAAATGTGTATTAAGCCATCCTTAAAATCCGATAACATAACAAGTTACATGAAGCGGGTGGACGTGTTAAAAAGTGTTCCGATCAAATTAATCGTTAAACGTTTCAAACAGCGTTATTTAGTGGTATAGTGCAATAGTTGTGAGACTATAATAGTTTTTCAAAGTACATTGGTGCTTAGTTCTGATAAAAGTGATCTAAGTTAAGAAAAATTAGCAAAATCATTTTAACTTACCCTTTAACAAAACTTGAAGGACTATTGCATATCGTACAAGGAGTTCAAAAATTTCATCGTATCTGCTCAAGGCGTGTTGGTCGAACGGCCTAACGGTGTGCACATCAATTAAAAGTTAAAGCGACGGAGGGTCGAGTCCACTGCATTGTAAATTGGAGTTGACGCATTTTTTGTACTTATAATTTGTATTAAATTCTCTGCATTTTAACGCTTTATTCAATAGTAAAATGGGCGGAAGGTGTGAAGCATGCAGAGCAAACATAAATGTTACTCAAAAACGAATAAAATGCACACAATGTTCGCATAACTACCATTCAGAGTGCATAAATTTTAATAATGATACTGCTTCAAGATCTGAATGGAAGTGTCCCGATTGCACTGCTTCTTGTCGAAAAGGTGGTGATAACAGTAACACTCCGATACGAACTAATAAGTCTCCTTCCAACACCGTTTACGATAAAACTACGTATAGATCATCAAAAAAAAGTTCTGACCAGCCTACATGTATCACTGAGACCAGTAGTTGCCAACCATATAATTTGGAATTAATTAATAGCATAGAGTTACTGTTAGACAAAAAACTCAGTGCTATAAAATTCGATATAATTCAAGAGTTGAAATTATCACTTATCACTGAAATAAAAAATGAAATAACTAGTAACCTTAAACAGCTGGAAGAATCGCATAACAGTTTGCTAAATGAATACAACAATCTTAAAAGTAAGTTTGAAAAACTTCAACAAAATGTCCAGAATGGCGAGATGAAACTGGCGGAATTATGTGCGCAAATAAAAAAAGAACAACAATGGGGTAGACTTTCGAACTTAGAGATTGTTGGTTTACCAGAAAACTCAAAAGAATCGACTTCTGAAATAATAATCAAAATAGCCAGCCATGTAGGAATAAAGCTTACGGATGATCAAATTGTTTTTGCGCACCGAGTTCAGCCTATGCAGAATGTTGGAGGTCGCCCAAAAAACATTGTAGTCAAATTTCAGAATCGCACTATTAAAGATAATATTATTTCAGGGCTCCGAAAAACCAAAGGAATTACTACTTCCGATATTGGACTGGGTGGTCCAGCCAAAAGGCTTTTTGTTAACGAACACCTGACCCCTGAGAATAAGCAACTCTTGAAAATAGTAAAATCACGAGCAATGGCCAAATCATATAAGTTTATCTGGGTCAGAAACTGCCACATTTTTTTAAGGAAAAACGAGGAGTCTCCCGCTATCACTATAAATTCCGAAAAAGATTTATTAAAAATTGTATGATAAGATTAATTTTGATAGTATTAGCATGCTATGTTTTAATATTAATAGTTACATATTTAACACATAAAACAACACTCACGATTTACACATCCATTATTACATACATCAAAATCTTACATTTACACACATCTTTCAAAATTTACATCAATACTGAATATTTACACCAATATGCCCTACAAAAGAAATGTATAAGCTACCATTTCTTACCTTGTATAAAAATAAAATTCCTGTCTGTTGCAAAACCATCCCTCATGACTCTTCAACCTGTATTATTTCTGTTACATAATATAATTATTATCTACATTACTATGATAAATATAATTTTTATAAGTTAATTACAACACAATGGTACCTATATCATGCTAAAAGTGCCTTATAACTCAATGCACATATTCTATCAAAACGTCCGTGGCTTGCGAACTAAAACTAGGCAATTTCGAGACAGTATAATTTGTAATAACTTCAACATAATACTCATTACAGAAACTTGGTTGACTGATGATATTTACAACGGTGAGTTATGTGACAATAGGTACGACATATTTAGGTATGATAGAAATAAAACATCTTCGCTTAAAAAGAAGGGTGGGGGGTCATGATTTGTACGTATACACAATTACAAGCTCAAGAACGGACCGAATGGATGTGTAGAGATCTCGAATGTTTGTGGGTAACAATACCAGGAAAATATTTAATTTGTCAAGACAGACGTAATTTAAACATTGGAGTTGTTTATATACCGCCTGATAATTATCAATCAAAGCGTTTAGATAATTTTACAGAAATGCTCACAAAAATCATAACTCAATGTCCAAATGATCATTTTATAATTGCTGGTGACTTCAACCTAGCGAACATATCTTGGTCCTCTTCAGGTCCCGTAATGCTTAAGCAAAGTCCAGTAGAATTACAAAATGCTACAATAAAGTTAACTGATCTATGCAACTTATCAGGGCTAAATCAACATAATATTATTAGCAACAATAGTGGCAACGTACTAGACTTAGTGTTTAGTAACATAAACATAGACGTTACTCGTTCTCAAATATATCTTGTATCTGAGGATAAATACCATCCTTCTTTACTGCTCGACGCATCTGATCTGCTAATACCCTGCTTAAAAAATAAACCACGATCAAAATTAAACTTTAACCGAGTTGATTACGATAAAATAAATAAAGCCCTCTCAGAAGTCAACTGGTCTTCCTTGTTAACTGGCAACTCAATTGATGTCGTAGTTCAAAATTTTTATTCCCAGCTACACATAATAATTGATAAATTTGTACCTACTTGTTTATCCCGTTCATCTAATTACCCTGTTTGGTATTCTAAATCACTAAGGCATATTATTCGAGAAAAGCTCTTAAAACACAAACATTGGAAAAAATATAAAATCCCCGTGATTATGACGAATTTTGCATACTACGTACTAGACAAAAGAAATTACAGAAACAGTGCAATGAGCGTTACTTAGATAAAATGCAAAGCCTTCTAAAAAAAGATCCTAAAATATTATGGTCCTATTTAAAATCTATACGTAATAGCAACTCTACATACCCTAATACATTAAAATTAAGAAATGAATCATACACAAACGAAACGAACGTGTGTGCGGGATTTAATAAATTCTTTGAAAGTGTTTTTCAAAAGCCTTCTTCTTCTTACGATTATTACCATATACCAAACGTAGAATCAAATGATATACTACATAATATATACTTTAGTACTAAAAATGTTTCTCGTATTCTACATACAATTAAAACTAATACAGGGCCCGGTAGCGATGGCATACCTCCTCTATTTATACATAAATGTGCAAAACACTTGGCCAAGCCTCTCTCAATAATCTTTAATATGTCTGTTAACACCTATGGAACATTTCCTAGTAAGTGGAAAGAAGCTCTAATAATACCTATACATAAGAGTGGACCAAAAAGCAGAATTGAGCACTACCGCCCAATCTCCATATTAAACACATTTGGAAAGATTTTTGAAAAACTTATCTTTATACACATCAGTCCCATAATCTTAAAATCAATACCAACTGAACAACATGGTTTTATAAATAAAAGATCAACTGTAACAAATTTAGCTACTTTAACCAATTATATATATATGAGCATGGACGACAGGCAGCAGGTCGATGTAATATACACGGACTTTGAAAAAGCATTTGACCGTGTTGATCATGCCATCCTTTTACGTAAACTTTACAGTTTGGGTATTCATGGTGATTTGCACAGATGGGTAACTTCATACATAAGTAACAGAAGGCAAGCAGTGTTACTGGGTAGTACTCGTAGTGATTTTATTATGGTAACATCTGGTGTCCCACAAGGCTCAATACTCGGACCTTTGTTCTACAACCCCTATTTATTTGACGTCGGTGACTGCTTCTATCATTCAAACTATTTAATGTTCGCAGATGACAAAAAAATTTACCTAGAAATAAAAACAATTGATGACTGTGTTCTGATTCAAAACGATTTAAAAAACCTAGAAACTTATTACAGCAAAAATAGAATTACTATCAATAGTGAAAAATGTGTCAAAATAACCTTCAGTCGCAAGAAACAGCTCATAGATTACAATTATTCAATTAACAATAAATCCATAAAGAGTGTATCATCAGTTAGAGATCTTGGTATCAGGCTGGACTCAAAATTAACGTTCAATGAGCATATAGATAGTATTGTTGACAAAGCCTACAAGCAAATTGGATTCATAAAGCGCGTCTGCAACGATTTTAGCAGTATTAATTGCATTAAAGCTCTATACGTTGCATACGTAAGGAGTGTTCTCGAATACGCTAATACAATCTGGTCTCCAAAGTATGCGAAGCATAAGCATCGAATAGAATCAATTCAAAAACTGTTCATTAAGTTTATCTCATCAAAAGATCATAATAATTTTGCTTCATACGAAGATGCTTGCAAATTTTACCGCTTAGATACCTTGGAACTCAGAAGACTTCAACACGATATGTTTTTGCTACACGGTTTATGGTCTGGTAACATAGATTGTCCAGACCTGTTATCTAAAATATCTATACTAGTACCTAAATACCGAACTAGACATACGCCATTATTTCACGTACCACAAACAAATACAAATTACGCAAAAAATTCTACTTTATGTCGTATTGTTCAAAACTATAATAAGTTTTACGCTGACTTGGATATTTTCAACCTATCCAAGAGTCGCATCAAACGTGATGTTGTAAACAAAAATAGGGCATAATCACACACACACACACACACACACACACACACACACACACACACACACCCACACCCACACACACACACACACACACGCACACACACACACACACACACGCACGCACGCACGCACGCACGCACGCTTAATTATTAGTTGATAAAAATTGTGTAATCTCTATTGGCCTTACTATATGATAATATGTATTGTAAATACGATAAAAACGCTGTATGATTACCTAAATAAATAAATAAATAAAAGTATATATCAATAGGATTTAGCCTGCGAGAAAAATGAAATCGTGTCTTGTTTGCGCCATCTAGCGTATTTTGTGCGTACCACCTTGAAAGTTAATCAATGTTTGTTCGATAAAATCGTTTTACATATAAAATGCAGTAGATGGCGCTATAACAAATTATTATTATACTTGTTTACTCCAAAGAATACAGTTTTAATTTATTACACTTAACTTCTCAAAATATTACCATATTATGCTTGTAAGCGGACCAGACTTTGTTGTACTTAATAAGTTTAAGTAGTTCTACATAATGTCAAACATTAAACGTGAACTAATTTCTTTAAAAAAATTTACAGTTCTTACCTAATATCTACGCATCTATATAATATTTTATGTTACATTACCTTATATACACAAAAACAGTTCAAACTTAAAAAACTATCATAAAATGGAAAAATTATTATTTATGTAATCTAAGTATCCTTAACCCTTAACCACCTAGCGTCGGTCACAGTAACTCCAGGCGATATATTTTTAAGCTATTGCATAGCTTCTATCGCGGGCCTTGAGCGCGGGGACCGAATCCAGAAATTCCGTAACGAAAAAAACCTCACGCTCCCCACTCCGACGGGCACGGAGGTGTGGCGTTGAAAGCCGTGCATCGTCTAACGTCGTTTCAGTTCGGCAGACTTCGGCACTCGGCAGACTTCGGCACGGTGTTTGTGTGCGTGCGACTAGACGTATGCGTGTACACTAGTTGCTAACTCAATGATAAAAATTCCTGAATAACCTACATGTATTGTAAGATATTAAAAATATTTTAAACAATATTAACTTCTCATTTATTAAATAAGAGAAAAAAATTGTTTTCTTATCCGTCACCACGCTCAAAAAGTGTAACTTGATTTAATATCAAAGACTTAACTGTATGAATAAAATAAATAAATAATTATAATTGCATAAGTTGATAAAAAATGCTATGCAATAGCTTTACAGCGGCAGTCACCGAGTGCCACACGTATTTTTTTTTCATGACAGTATCATATGTGTTTAGAGCGGGATGAGAGTGTAAAAAATGGCTAATGGTCCATGCGTGTTCAAGCTGTGGCCGCGCAAGTGTATTATGCAGGGGTAGAATTAAAAATAATGCTTACAAATAAAAATAAAACATTTTATAAGATAAAAACTTTCTTGCGACCAACATGTGTATTATCATCATCAAGTATTAGCGACAACAGAAAAATGAACGCTTCATTCCATCACATAGATGTCATAAGAGACAACTGATGTAAATGCTTGATGTAAAATACTTGTAAAATTTGCAGACGAAATAGAAAACAACATGTTAAATGCAAGACAACCGTTGACTTGAATTGAACATTTTGAATATAATGTTCATGCATATTTTACTACAATCAAAAGTTAGTCATTCCGAGGGTATCCTAAGAGGCAACAGAGGGACATGAGACGGGCAGCAGAATCTTTCTAATAACACCTCAAAATAATGGAAAAACAAGGTTGCCAGCCCGCCTTCCAAGAAACTGAGAAATATGCTTCCTATATTACCTACGAGTGAGACGCATTCTCAGCACTTTACCGTTAGCGTGGACTTTTTGATAGGGATGAATTAATAAATAAATTAAGAATTAAATATATAGATCAATTATAAACACAGTCCGAGTCCGTATCCGTTATTCGCTTTATAGATTGCCGCACCAGTCGGCCCCAATGATTAAGCCAATTAAAGGCAAAGTCGGGCGATGCAAAAATTGAATTACCTTATCTCAATAATCAAATATAATCGAGGTACACAGACAGAATAACTGTCACGAATTAGTGCCAAAGGGACCATTTAATTTTGACAAATGTTGCCTGACGCTTGTAAAAAAGTAGTCTATATATTAAATATTTAATTTATTTATATATATATATATATATATATATATATATATATATATTTAAATTAAAATACAGCATCTCTGTAATACTTCAGATTGGAACGTAACAGTATCTGTTTTATAAACTTTTGAATTTCGTTTCAAAGTTTAATGGCTAATCATGTCAAGTTGCAGTATTGGAAGGGAAATATATGAATGTAATAACATGAAGCCTTACATTCATGTAAAATCGATATGTAAGAGGTTCTTGACGATAAAGAGATTTATCATTTTGTTTTATACTAATATAAGTACTGCTGAGGTTTGTATTAATTTCTAAAGTATTTTTAATTTTTTTACTTAAGAACTGATAAGTTATAAAAAGGATTATTAATAGGTATATTGTTATTAAATACTTTCAGATAACAATCACGTAACTAAATCGTAACTACGACAATGCTACCGAAACAAAGGCGAAAGCTTTGTAGTATGAGGCTTTACAATAGTAACATTATCCGACCATAACTTCTAACGTTGCTTCAATGTTTATATATTGGGCGTTCCGAAAGTGCAGTTAAGATAAATTCCACCAAAAACGGGAGCAGCCTATATCTAGTAGCGGCCTTCATTTCTACGTGCCTTTTTTTTAAACATTGAGTGACAAACGAGTACACAGTCCACCCGATGGTGAATGGATGCTATGGCCCATAGACATTCACATTTATCGTCAATTAAGAATCAAAATGCAAAAGCGTTGTCACCTCTGAGAACTAAGATGGAATGCCTCGATTCCAATAAAAAGGTACTGCGCTGCTATTTTACGTTGGTATTCTGTGAGAGCGTGGCGTAGTCTGGGCCTGGTTGTGCCGACCTGTTCGTGCTACAACTATAATATAGCTGCAGCGTGGCTCTACCACGTTAAGAAAGCTTAAGGAGAATTAAGAAGATTAAAGAATGTAAATGTATTAAAACAAAAGAAACTTAGATAGTTTTTTGTACGTAATATGAAGCAGATAGTTTCAACTACTATGCGGTGTAATGATTAGTTTCATTTTTCATTTACAAATCGACATTTAATATCGACAAAGAAAAGAAAGAACTGTGTAAACGAGTATTTTATTCTGATTTCAATTGCATTAAATTGCCCGCTGCAGTATAGCGTTATGCCATTATGTGCTCAAGCTTTAAACGATAATGCAGTTGAACAACTGCCAAATTTATTCTTATTTACTCAGAAACTAAACGCAACGTGACAGTCGTAAAATTTATACGTTTAATAACTGGAAAATTTTCATTTGCAGTTTGCATGTTGTTAATTTAAGTTTACTAAAACTGATCGCACTGGTTATACACTTTAGTTTTCAGTGATTGAGGTATACCTGACGAAAAGATGTGTCGTAATTTCCCGAACGCTGCCCAGCCGAGTTGAATCCGTCGATTGACCTCTCGGTCGAAGTTGGACTTACCTAGTCGGACTATTTGTCCCAGGTAAACGTACTCGTCAACAACTTCGAGCATAGTGCTCCCAACAACTACCGGCATAGGTGTGACATGGACATTAAACATGATCTTTGTTTTGTCCATGTTCATCTTAAGACCTATCCGTTGGGAGACACCATTGAGGTCATTGAGCATAGTGCTAAGGTCCTCCAGCGATTCTGCCATAAGGACTATATCGTCGGCAAATCGAAGGTGAGTGATGTACTCGCCATTGATGTTGATACCGTATCTTTTCCAGTCCAGTAGCTTGAAAACGTCTTCCAACGCAGCGGTGAAGAGTTTCGGGGATATAACATCACCCTGTCTTACACCTCTCTGCAGTTGGATAGGTTTCGTACTCTGGTTCTGTACTCGGATAGCCATCGTAGCCCTACTGTACAAACACTTCAGCACTTCAATATACCAACAGTCAACTAGGCACCGCTGAAGAGACTGTAGCACCGCCCAAATTTCGACGGAATCAAAGGCTTCCTCATAGTCCACATACGCCAGGCAAAGTGGCAGATTGTACTCTTCGGACTTCTGTAAAATTTGCCGAAGGATATGTATGTGGTCTATGGTACTGAAGCCTTTTCGGAAACCCGACTTGTTCGGGAGGCTGGAAGTCGTCGAGTCTGCGTGCGAGACGATTCGTAATGACTCTCGAAAACAGCACGTAGACGCGGCTCAGAAGGGAAATCGGTCTGTAGTTCTTCAAGAGAGCGTTGTCACCTTTCTTAAAGAACAAGACCACCGCGCTTCTGCTCCACGCCTCCGGAGTAGTGCCACCGTGGAGGACGGAATTGAAGAGCTTCTGAAGGACTTCAAGTACCGGTGTTCCACCCGCTTTCAGAAGCTCCGCTGTAATTCCATCCTCGCCCGGGGCCTTGCCGCTTTTAAGGTGGTGGAGAGCCATTCTAATCTCGCTCAGACTGACGTCCGGGATATCATCGGATCTGAGACATGGTCCTTCACCGCTGGCCGTATGAGGACGCTCAAGGTCGCTCAGCGAGCTATGGAGAGGGCTATGCTCGGAGTTTCACTGCGTGATAGACTCAGAAATGAGGATATCCGCAGTAAAACCGGAATGACCGACATAGCCCAACGGATTAGTAAGCTGAACTGGCAATGGGCCGGCCATATACCTCGAAGAACCGATAACCGATGGGGAAGAAAGGTTCTCGAGTGGCAGCCTCGTACCGGTAGGCGTAGTGTAGGGCGACCCCCCTACATGGAGTGACGACCTGGTATGACATGCAGGAAGTCGATGAATGCAGGTGGCTCAGGACCGTGCTTTGTGGCATTACTTGGGGGAGGCCTATGTTCAGCACTGGACTTGTGAAGGGCTGTAATGATGATGATGATGATGATGAAAACTGATCAAAAAATGTAAGAGCTTACTTTAAAGAATTTGTGGTAACACTGAATTCTGAAGGTTATATTTAGAAATTATTTTATTTGGTGAATGATTAGCCCCGGAGCTACCTAAATTGTAGTAGCTCGCTGACCGAATAGCAGCTAGCATCACAAACCTAGATCAAGCCTGGTTGGATCCCGGTGGCACTAATTTGTTAATTTCAAAGTGCTAATTTACCACGTGCTCAATGGTGAAGAAAAATATCGAAACATGGATGTCTGAGAAAAAAATATTTTGTATACACGTGAAGGTTGAGATGGAATTTTCTTAATTTTCCATTTGCAGCTTTAACAGATATTCGACACCCACAGGTATATTTCTGTTATGTAACATTATTTTACAACTATTGCCGTACAGCGTCTGTCTTTTCACCTGACAACAATTCGGATTGTGTTACGCTATGAAAGTTTTATTTACCATCAGTCTAGAGTCTCGTTACCGTTTACCATCGAGTGGTTTTTTAGTACAACACACATTTAAGCAACTCATAATAATTAACTCATAAATCCTTATCCTCATAATAATTAACTCATAACTCATAAATCCGTTTAATGGGGTCGTCATGATATAGAGATAGAAAGCGTGAAAAAATACGGTTGACCCTACAGGCCATCCCTGCAACTTCCCGCTAATTTCAAATGCAAAGCGCTCCAAAATCCACTTACTATCACGCAACACGCACGGGCACGCGCGTGCTCACGCACGACGCCATGGGCTTTTATTCTATTTCGCTCAAAAGCAAATCCACTAGAAATAAAGGCCTGAATTGTATTGTACAAATAACCTGCAGAAAAAGTATCATTCATACACTCTAGTGATCACCCGCTCTGCCGCCGCCCGCCGCACTGAAAAGACACCCAGACCCGTATATAAATTATGTGTGTTTTTTCGTAAATATTACCGTTCGTAGGGATTCGAACGTAAACTATTTAGTATGCACGTAATATTGCGCTTTTGCTATAATGCATATTTAACAATATCAGAGGTGCTTGCACTGTCACCTAACCTCATAAGTTACAACTTACACATGCTTGGAGTTCCGTTTACAAAGCTAGGTACATAATAAGTTAACAAATTATGGTTCAATGACGAACGAGGTATCTAAACTATTTTGATAGCATCTTTAATATTAAATAGTACTTTCATACTCCTGAGTGCTCGATGAATGTGCTCCAAATGACATTCCTGCACAGAAATAATAATAAGACAATAGCAGTCGCATGGACGCGTGATTTTGTCGCCGCCTGTGTTGATGAACATGATTCACCATCAAGTTTCATCCACTTACCAATCAATTGATAAATGACACGTGTATACAAAATAATTTTTTCTCAGACATCCATGTTTCGATATTTTTTCTTCACCATTGAGCACGTGGTAAATTAGCACTTTTAAATTAACAAATTAGTGCCACCGGGATCCAACCAGGCTTGATCTAGGTTTGTGATGTTAGCTGCTATTCGGTCAGCGAGCTACTACAATTTAGGTAGCTCCGGGGCTAATCATTCACCAAATAAAATAATTTCTAAATATAACCTTCAGAATTCAGTGTTACCACAAATTCTTTAAAGTAAGCTCTTACATTTTTTGATCAGTTTT